TTTCAGGAAAAACATACTTCATAATTGTAAATTATGTCTTAGTTTCCCTATTGTATACAGTTTGTTCCTTGGATTACCTTTTATATAAACAAACAGGAAAAATTAAAATGGGAAAAATGCTTCCTCTATTTGCTTGCAAAGCTCTACAAAAAAGGATTAGACTAAAGTCTTAAATCACAGCCATCTCCTAAATCAAATGTGTAACAAGGGTGATAATGAGTGTAAACACACTGAATAATAAAATGTAATTTGTGTTCTGAGTTTTAGGGCTCTAATCCAAAGCTCACTGATGTCTGTGGAAAGACTTCCATTGATTTGAATTAGGCCTTGGCTTTTGTCCTGAATGAACACAATACCAGTGGAGCTATTCGTGAAAGAAATGTTGGAAATAAATCACAGGAACTTTCTGTGTCGGAACCCAATTCATTTGCTAATTCAGGCAGTCATGTTTTACAATGCTTGTTGTGTTGATACTTTGTCATTGTCCCTCGCTTGAACTAACCAGACTCAATCTTAAAAAAAAAAAATCATTTGCCACTGCTGCTGTAATTGGAAGGTTGTTTCTGGATCATTACTCTGATGTGTGAAACCTTCTTTACCTTCTAGCCTAAACCTATTTATGCCAATTGTTTCCGCTGGTTTTATGCCAACATAGTCTTCTAGTCTTTATACAGTATACTTTGTCTTTACTCTATACAGTTCTGGTAAACTACTGATGATTCTCCCAACTCCTCAGGCTTTGCTCTCTTTTGCTAAATAAGCCAAGCATTTTTATTTCTTATTCAGTAAATTCTTCCCCGTAGCCTTTATCTGAATCTATTCCCATTTGGCTTAATCTACCTGGGACACAGGCAACAAAACCTGCATTTTTAATGAGGTGTAATAGTGCTCTATATAATGTTGTTAAAACTTTCCTTGCTTTACTGGAAATACTTTTCCAGATGCAGCCAGTATTTTGTTTGCCTTCTTATGGCTGCATTTCACTGATCACTTTTTATCGTGTGACTTACAGGATCTCGGTTACCAGGTAAGCTCCCGTTTAGCAGTAGAAATAGTTCTTAGTCCAGGAGTGCATAGCTTTGCCCTTGTACTCTGGGGCTTTTAGCTTGTGTCCGTTACTCCAGTGTTCATTTCTGCCTTGGATGGTGCTCTGTTTCTCCTCTGCATTGGCTGTCGTAAATGATAACAATCAAACTTCAGTAATCAGCAGCCTTAATTAGTATGTTCTTACTTTGTCCTAATTTTGTTAATTAAAACCCCCCCAGAACTCTAGAAACTGCTAGAGGTGGTGAATGCTGGGTGGTGGGAGCTGACGTAAGGTGACAGGAAAGAACTGGGGAAAGGTGCCCAGTGTTGGGCAAAGGAATAGCGAGATGAAGAGAGGGCATGGAGCCCGCGAGGGAGAAGTGAGAACTTCTGCAGTCTTGGTCAAATGAACGCTACTCACATTTCCCAGAGCATTAGTTGGGTCTCACAGAGTCATGCTTGGAATGGATGAAGACATGCCAAAATCCCAGAAATAAATGCATCACTGATGACTTCTGCATTTTGACTTTTTAAGAGTAGCAACACTGCTGCTTAACTTTGGACCTTCCTTTATTTTTTTTTTCAGGAGTTTTCAAAGTATTCTGAAAGTTTAAAGACTTATTTTCTTAAAGCATCTTAAAAATACTGAATCCTAAAAGCACTTTAAAAGTCCTGAATTGAGGGGATTATGAGTCTTGAATAATTTATCCACAAAACTTGAAAGGGAGAGAATTTGCTTATGTCTTTAAAATGTATATGATGCATTTTCTTATAGATTGGAATGACTTTGAAAGACTTTTATCCAGAGAAGAACATTCAGCAGATATTAGAAGTCACAGGCAATAGCAATTAAGGCATAAGGCCTTTCCTGGGAATTAATATCAAGCTGGGAGGAGTTGGGATGGCTCAAGATGCAGCTGAGGGCCATTAACTGCAGCTGATGATTAATGACCTCTGCTGAGGTCATTATTATTATCAGCTGAAAATGTAGAAAAATTCAGATGTATGGGTCTTTTTAATGGGAGATGCAGTTTCAGTTGGTGCAGTAGAAGTGTGTCCACTGTGGACAGACTGCCCTGTATTAATATCAAATAGAGGGCTTGATTTCCCTCCTCCTCCTCCTCCTCCTGTCATTTTTAGGAGTGTTAATCAAAGCTGGATCTCTAAAGCTGTGCCAGTATCAAATTGAAAAGTAAGCAGAATAAAGTCCATAGCACTTTAATGTTCTCCCAGTATTACACTTGGCATCCAGTACTTAATCAGATTTATTTAGAGATACTCCCATCTGTCCATTTTGGTGCCTAATGAGAGTGCATCTCAGTATTGTCCAGAAATGTGCCCGGAGCGTTCCTTGTGCTCCCTGTACTTGGACTCACTTTTGCAATCTTGTCCTCCCTTCTTTTGCATTATGCCCCTAACTCTAGGTTCCACATTGTTGTACGTGCTATGCACAAAGAGGGCAGGCACGCAGAAATGCCGGTGTGTTGATACAAGGAGAACCTGTTTCCTAGTAAATTGCCAGTCGTAATAGATACTTACTTCCCAGTGTCCAGACAAGTCCATGCATAGTTCCTTCCACGGTTGATGAAATATTTATTTTTTATATAAGGAATGATTTCATTGTTGACCTATGAGGAAACTGAGAGGTACTACAGGGGACTAGGATATATTCATCTTGCTGCTTATTTTTAGCTTATGTGACTTCTGTTGTAATACCTTGATCATCTCCTATACATATATGTGTGTGTATATATATAACTATAAATACCTTGATATATCTCATATATATGTATTTAAGTTTGTTTACTTCAAGGTGCTTTTTAAAAAAAATACTGAAGAAGTCTGAAATAGGTAATATAGGTAACATAAAGACATAAGCTTTAATTAGTTAGTCACTATTAGATTGTACACAGTACTGCATGTTTCTGAACACTGCGTAAGCCCTACTTTACACACAGGCTGGTCCTCTGTCCCTTTCTTTCCCTTCCTCCAGCCCTCTTCCCCTGGGCATTTTGAAGGTTATAGCATCAAAATTCCAAGCAGGACAGGACTGAGATGACTGCTGCTTTTGGCTGACCTTTATACAAATGTCACTGGATGTAGACTTCTGCTGAGGAAAATGGAATTTTGCAAAATTGTAAGCAAAGCAGTTAAAAAACATAAGTCAGATGTGAAACGTTGACAATTTGAACGTTAGCTGGTATGACTAGACCCAAATGTACAAACCTATCAACTTCACACTGTTTGTGGGATTACTGCATGCCTTGATTCGCCCTCAACCAAACCACTGAGCATTCTCCCATCTCTTTTTTTTTTTTCTGTTTTTTTTTTTTTTTCTCCCTTTCCTCCTCCAAAGTATCTCCTGTGGTGAGAGGAAGAGGTGAGTGAGGTCAGGCAAAATGAAATTAAAATCATGAAAGCTTAATAGACCACAGGGAGGTTCCTTTGAAAGGATGCCAGAGATGGAATATCAGTTATGAGGAAGAAGACCACAGAGTTGGCAGTGAATGAAAGGAGATCTGATACATGCGCACTAGTGTTTCATACTTCTTGCCACAAAACTGGTCTGTTTTCCTAGTTAACTCTTCAACAAATGTATCATCTGACCGTAGGCACTCCCACAGTGCTATTGGGGCTCCCTGATGCAGCTTCACTGTGCTTCAGGACACATTTTTCTAAGAAGTTCTGGATTCTTTGTCTTGCTTGTAAGATCAACAGATGAGAACTGAAGTATTGATGAAATTACATAAATCCTATTTTCTATTTCATCTTCTGCAGCCTCTATGAGTTATCCACTCTTGGGGATAAGAAGTTGTTCTCCTGGATGAGAAGAAAAGTTTTATTTTAAAACATGTAAAAACATGCTTACTTGCAGATATACCAAAGAAAACATCAGGTTATTGTAATTATACAAACCTCTCCATCTGACATAATAGCCCTCAGTGTATGAAGTGGTGTGGCCAATCATCTCAAACACTATTTTTTTCAGGATAAAGAACTCTTAAAAGAAGGGACTTTGCTCTAGTTGATTCTCCATTTTCTAAGACTTCAAGTCTGAGTTGCAGTAGTTAAAATGCTAGGACTTTGTGAGACTCACTGGATGGCAGTTTAAAATCTGAGTAAACACAAAGGCTAGACTAAATGATAACTGCTCCCTTTCTGTCTTAACATTTTATGAATCTATGCCTGTGTGAATGAAAAGACCTGTGCAAGTGTGTCAGAATTGATTTAAGGACTTTGGTTTTCTTTGATGATGTGGAACTAGTCATATATAGTCATATAGTTTCAGACTCTTCTTTTACAAGGTCAGAATATCCATATTTGTGTCATGTGCTTTTGAACATGGAGTTCTACAGCTAAACATTTTTAAACCTAAAATTTGTCTTTGGGACAGGTCACTGTTTTCAGTTATCTAATTTTTTTCTCTGCTACTACAGGAACTCTCAAGCAATGCGTGTATATCTGTGTTAAGTGTTTAAATGACAAAACATCCAGAAAAACATAACATGCAATACAAAATGACCCTGCAGTGTTGATGTGAATGTCACCCTCAGTTACAGTGGGCCTGACTTTGTCTGCTGACTCCATTGTAATTCAGCACAATGTTTGCTTTTGTACAGATGAGACCACAGTTTTCTGGTATTTTCAGTCACATGCCCTTTTCAGCTTCATTTCATAAGTCACTGTTGCAATTTTATTCAACTTTTACGAGAAATGCAATAGCTGCTGGGTTCTCTATTTGAAGACTCCTTCCCCCAAAGATTTTGCAGAGTTCAGCATTTCCAGACTAGTGCTTTCTTTAGTGTCTTTTCACAGAGCCCTTATTAAATGTCTGTGGACACCCACCCCCAAAGGCCACAGGCTGAAACCTCCTGCTTAAACAGTTGTCATCAAGTTTCAGATTATCCTTTGACGTAGACTGATGTGACAGAGCACAAAGTTAATCTTCAGCATTATTTCTTTTTCATTTGCAGGAAAAATTTGAAGGCTTGTTCCGTGCCTATGATGACTGCGTGACATTCCAGCTGTTTAAAAGCTTCAGGCGTGTGCGGATAAATTTTAGTAGTCCCAAATCAGCTGCTCGTGCCAGAATAGAGCTGCATGAAACACAGTTCAGAGGGAAGAAGTTAAAGTTGTATTTTGCACAGGTAATGAAATTTGGTATCTACCCTTATGTTAGTGCATTGCTTTTATAGAAATACTGCACAGTAACACTGAATAAAAATAATAAAGGTTTCTCCCATGCCCAATCTCTCTGCTAAAAGATTACTCAAATGTCCTTATGTTGCCTGAGCTGTACCTGCCCTGTGGGTCCGCAGTAAATTTAAAGGACCACTTAGGACCAAAGTTGCATATTCAACACACAGACATTAGATAGCTTAGAACTGATTTAGAACATTGGATATTTTCTCTGGGTAACTCTCTAAACTAACCATAAAAAAAAGCAGTAATGTAAAGTATCATAAGTTCATTTAAAAAGTAGGGCTGAATTAATTATTTGACTGCAACCTTGAGCCACAGTCAGGCTTCCTCCTGCCTTTTTTTTTTCTCCCCATACTGAATACATGTGTGAATTTTCTAAAATGACTTTCTGAAGTTCAAGTAAAAGGAAGAAGGTAGGGGGAGAACAACACACCCAGCCTGGGGGCATAGGTGATTAGGTGATTATATCAATCTGTTGGAAGTGTCGGATGGGTGTTCGATTCTTCTTGGCCAAGGGAGAGAGAACCCAGATCTCCCACAGCCTGAGTGACTACTAGGCCCCAGCCAGGATATAGAGAGGTGAGGGAGGCTGAGAATGCAACCACCACCTCTTCTGAATGGATTTTAATAAATTGGTGTGGCCACTGTGGCTTATGGGATACTCACTAGTGGTTATAAGCAATGTAAGCGTGCTTTGAGCTGCCAGATTTGTCCTTCAGAGGTCTTAGTTTAAGGGCAGGCTCATTTGAAGTTATCAATCAAACCTAAGAGGCAGTTAAATTTTGAACCTCTGCAGCCTGGTCAGAATAGGAGCTGTTTTGAGCCTAGGCCGAAGCAGAACCTCAGGAGGATGGGAAACTATAGTTGTGAAAAAAACAATATGCTTAACGGGTTAGATGAGCTCAGAAGATTTTACAGTTGGATTTAGGTGTTGAAAATCTGCTTCAATCCCATTTTATATGCCTTAATCTCCTAGATCTGGCTCTGAATTTTTTCTGAAAGGTTTCAAAACCTGCCGTTAAGCAGATCTGAGAATCATTTTACTCTAACTGCACAATTAAGAGGTTAATTGAAAACCTGGGGTAACACAAGAAAAATGTGCATAATAGTGATTAGTCTCCATATCTAAGCTGATTTCCCGCAAAGCCATTTAGGTGTCTGCACTATGCTCTCCAGTACATGCAGTCTTAAAAGAGCTTATTAGTTGTGTCCAGGGAATGAAAATGTGAAGCAGCAATGTCTGGAGCAGTGTAGGTTTATATGGGCCTGAGCCAGGCTGAATAAGTACTTCCAGATGTAGAAGTTCTGGGGAACATGGAGCTGAGAGACCCAAACTGGCTCTGGCTCTTTGCAAAACCCATTCCGATATAGCAGGGTGCTGTCTCAGGCTTGCTGTCATGCAAATGCAGTTTATTGCTTCTGGGCTCCAGCTGGTTGTAAACTTGCTTAGGTATGGCTGTAGCATAATTAATTTATGTTAAGGCTTCTTTAATGTACCAGAAAAGAGCAGGAATTAAACTAGGTAATTTAAGATGGAAATAAAATGAGAACAATTAGTTGCAAATGACTAAGGAACATGATAGATTCCTTTATCACTAAACAATTCAAATCTTCAGAAACCTTTCTGAAGTTACTGATAAGGCCTTGGTGCAGGAGTTACCAGTTTCTTGTCTAATGTCTGCTTTTATTTAGGAGTTTAGACCAGTAGATTACAACAATATCTTTTCAGCCTCAAAAATCTCTGAACTAGCAGCTGTGGATACCAAAGCTTTGCATTTATCCTCAGAGAACATACACAATCGGCACAGACTTTGTAGCTTTGCTCATACAACAGCCCCCCACAGTGCATTTACTGTAGAGGAACCATCTGTAAGGTTGAGATGAAATTCATCTCCAGGCCTTCTCTGCTGAGACTGACGCTGAAACCCTGCCTGGATGGCATTTGGTATTAGAAGTGTATGATTTGAGTAATCATTCCATTTACCCATCCTGAACAGTGTATTTTTATGCTTTAAAGATTCAGACCTCCGAGACAGATGGAGACAAGCTTCATTTGGCACCACCACAGCCTGCAAAACAGTTTCTCATCTCGCCTCCAGCCTCCCCACCTGTAGGGTGGCAACCAATAGATGATGCAACACCTGTCATCAACTACGACCTCCTTTATGCAGTTTCTAAGCTAGGACCAGGTAAGCTTGTGGTCCTTGTGTGAAGATGTGTCAGAAAAAGCAGATGAGAAATGGCAGTGTAGAGAATAACTGTGGAGAAAGTTGGGGTAAAGCCTATAAGTTGCATTAAAGCTTTGGATTTAAGTTGATGCATGTCAACTGGTTCTTTGCTTAAGAATGAGTTTTACTCTATGTACATACAGAATTGTATCTTATCTGCAGCTCATGAGCACTGTTTGACTGAACCACAGATCAAAGCTTGTTTATGCAATTTACTGTGCTTTGGGTTTGTGCTTAGATGAGACAACTGATGGTTTATGTGGGGACTCACTCAGTTGGCCAAGTACGCAGTGGCGGCAATGATAAATTTGGGGGCTGAGCTCTAGATTGAGGCAGACGGGGGAGTTCCCAGAGCCAGAGAAACTTGCAGAAGAGCAGAGACCCATGAGGAGGCAGCAGCTGTCCTGAGCGAGGCAGACGCAACTGGGGTGTTGCCAGGAGCAATTGTGGGAGATTTTAATGGTCCTAAGGAGCGCTAGCGGGCAAACAGGGCATGGCACAGTGGCCAGGGTGTGGTGCAGCAGTTTGTGAGGCAGTTTGCATGAGGAGGGCATGCAGGAAGGGCCCTGCAACCTGCTTGTAGGTCCACAGGCCAAGGAGACCTCAGTACAGGTGGTAGATTGCAATGAGTGCCCAGACCTTTCTCCTGGAGAAAAGCTGAGTACCTGCATAAGGTGTGCACAGGTTGATGATCTGTTGCATCAGGGGCTGAGTTGCAGGAAACAGTTAAAAGGCTGCACAGTATTAGAGAAGCTGAAGTGGAGATAGATAAGTGGTTTCAGAACACCTGAAAGGACACCTCTGAGTATGAGGCAGCTTGGGCCCTGATGACCCACAAAAGCAGGACTCTGCTTCAGTCTCCACCCTCCAGCATCACAACTGAAAACAAGTATGAAGCTTTAACAGATATAGACACCCATGAGCAAGGTCTGCAAGAAGAAACTGTACCAGCAGCACACAGTGGATACTGGGAAAAGAAACAATGAGTGCTCATAGTGGGTGACTCTGTTAAGGGGCACTGATGTGCCCATCTGCCTACCTGACAGGGAGTCAGGTGAAGTGTGCTGCCTTCCGAGAGGATGCCACAACTTGTCAGGAGCACAGACTGTTATGCATTGCTACTCTTTCATGTGGGTATGAATGACACTGCAAGCCAGAACCTGGGCAGAATCAAGGAAGACTATAAAGCCCTGGGGCAGCAGGTGAAAAATATCGGTGCCCAGGTTACCTTTTCCTCCATTTTACCAGTCAGAGGAAAGGGGGCAGCCAGAAATAGATGTATAGTGCAAATCAGTTTCTGGCTTCATGACTGGTGCTGTTGTGAGGGTTTTGGCTTTTATGACAACGGGACATTCTTTAATGACTGTAACCTATTAGAGAGGGATGGAATCCACCTGTTGAAGAGCCAAGGGAATTTTGGCAGCAGGGTGGCCAACTTGGTGAGGCGGGCTTTAAACTGAAGGACTTGGGGGGCGGGGTCCAAAGTGGCAATGCCCACACCGTTGCATCCAACTGGGCAAAAAAACAGGCCAACCAGAATAACGATAAATGTTCCTTAGCTGCCTCCCAAGATGAGAACCAGAAGGCCAACCACCACAAGGGTGTGTGTGGCTATGGTGAATCCTCTTGCACTCCACCTGGGAAACCTCCATGCTCAATTACCTCTCTGAAATGCCTGTACACCAACACATGCAGCATGGGGAACAAGAGGAATTAGAGATCTGTGTGAGATCACAAGACCATGATGTCTTGCAGTCAGACATGGTGGGATAGCTCACATGACTGGAATGCTGTCATGGATGGCTATGTGCTTTTTAGGAAGGACAGGCCAGGAAGGCAAGGTGGTGGAATTGCTCTCTGTGTAAGATGGCAACTGGAATGTATCAAGCCCTGCCTAGGGGCAGATGAAGAAGGAGTCGAGAGCTTATGGGTAAGAATCAAGGGGCAGCCTCATATGTGTGATGCTGCTGTGGGTGTTTACTACAGGCCACCTGATCAGGATGAGGAAGTCGATGAGGCCTTCTACAGACAGCTGAAAGCAGCCTCAGGAACACAGGCCCTGGTTCTCATCTCACCCTGATACCTGCTGGAAAGACAACGCAGCTAGGTACACACAGTCCAGAAGGTTTCTGCAGAGCACTGATGATAACTTTTTGACACAGGCAGTGAATGAGCCTACAAGAAGAGGTGTTCTGCTGGACCTTGTCCTAACAAACAAAGAAGGACTGGTTGGGGATGTGGAGGTTGGGCGCGGCCTTGGCTACAATGATCATGAAATGGTGGAGTTCAGGATTGTGCATGGAGGAAGCAGGGCAATAAGCAGGATTACTGCCCTGGACTTCAGGAGAGCTAACTTTGGCCTTCTCAAGGACCCGCTTGGAGGCATCCCATAGGTTAGAGCTCTAGAAGGTAGGAGAGCCCAAGAGAGCTGGTTAATATTCAAGCATCACTTCCTCCAAGTTCAAGATCGGTGTACCCCTATGAGTAAGAATTCAAGCAAGGGGGGCAGGAGACCTGCACG